GTAAAAGGACAATTTCCTCTTTCCTACAGGTGTGACTTTGTATTTCTGTACAAACACAACTTCCCATTTCTGTCCAAGCATACCTTTATATTTCTGTGCAGGGGTAGCTTCTCCTTTATGCTCTGAAATGCTGTAAATGAAAAGGGGTTTGTGAACTCAGCCCCAAATCAGTATATCCTGAGCTATTAACTGCAGTAAAGACGCTGCTGTTGGCCAGGGTGGCTTTGGGTGACACACTTGTCTCAGCTGTGTCAGGGTGGTGACATCCTGACCCATCTCAGGGACATTTCCGTGGGATGTTGTCCTTTTCAGGCGAGAAAAACAGGGAAAGTGGGAAAAAAGGGGAAGCAGCAAAGTGAGAGGAGCTGGCCAGGGGAGCCAGACCTGGGGCATGTTGAGCTGAGGGGGCTGCAGAGCTCCTGCAAGGAGGGAAAAATCCTACAGGGCCAGGGGCAGCAGCTCCCCAAAAGAAACATTATCTGGGATAGTCTCATTTTCCGGGATCTCCAGCATATTTCTTAAGTGTTTTTTCCTCTCTGCTGCAGGTTTGTGCAGATACACTTGGACTACTTAGAGGTTTGGGTTGGATATTGGGAAAATTTCCTCCCTAAAAGGGTGGTGAGGCCTTGGCAGGGGCTGCCCAGGGCAGGGTGGAGTCCCCAGCCCTGCAGGGATTGAAATCCCTGTGGATGTGGCACTTGGGGACAGGGGGTGGTGGTGGTGGCGGCCTTGGCAGCGCTGGGGGGTGATCTCAGAGCTCTTTCCCAGCCCAAATGGTCTCTAATCCAGCAGTTCAGGCAGGCAGACACTCGGGTGGAAGAGGTTCAGGTGACCTTTCAGTGCCTCCCGTGTCCCCAGCGTGTCCCTGACTCACTGCATGACTCCACATCCTCTTGGCACAGCGTGGAGGGATGTCCCAACCCTGCCCACGCTGGAGTGCCCTAATTGGGAGCACTAATTGCCCTGACCAGCCTTGGGTAGGGTGCCCACCCCTAGGCGTGGGAGCCCCATTTGAGCCGAGGTCGCTGGGTTTGGTCCCTGTTGGAGCTGTGGTGAGTCCAGGCTGGATTTGGGCTGCTGGTTGTTTCCATCCTGGCTCTGGAGCTGTGGTGAGTCCAGGTTGGATTTGGGCTGCTGGTTGTTTCCATCCTGGCTCTGGAGCTGTGCTGGGTCCAGGTTGGATTTGGGCTGCTGGTTGTTTCCATCCTGGCTCTGGAGCTGCCCTGGGATGTCTCTGAGGACCTGGACCGGGTCAGTGCCCCAGACCTGCTCTGCTCCACCTCTGTGGGTCCCCTGGGGCTCTACTGCTTGTGGTGGGCTCCCTAATCCTAATCCCGATCCCAATCCCAATCCTATCTGGATCCCGATCTCAATCCTAATCCTTATCCCAATCATAATCCAGATCCCAATCCTAATCCTAATCCCAATCCCACCTGTCCTGTTGAGCTCCCCTGTCCCCCCTGCCTCTGGATGTTTTCAGCCTCTTGGAATCCTGGATTGGTTTGGCTCGGGAGGGACTTCAAAGCCCCTCCCGCTCCAACCCTTCCAGCATCCCAGGCTGCTCCAGCCTGGCCTTGGACACTCCCAGGGATCCAGGGGCAGCCACAGCTTCTCTGGCCAACCTGTGCCAGGGCCTGCCCACCCTCCCAGCCAGCAATCCCTTCCCAATCTCCCACCTGTCCCTGCCCTCTGGCACTGGGAAGCCATTCCCTGTGTCCTGTCCCTCCATCCCTTGTCCCCAGTCCCTCTCCAGCTCTCCTGGAGCCCCTTTAGGCCCTGCAAGGGGCTCTCAGGTCTCCCTGGAGCCTTCCCTTCTCCAGGAAGAACATTCCCAGCTGTCCCAGCCTGGCTGCAGAGCAGAGGGATCCAGCCCTGGGAGCAGCTCCAGAGCCTCCTTTGGATTCACTCCAACTTCCCCCAAACCTGTGGCTCTCTCCAAACCCTGCAGGACCTCCTGGCTCCGGTGGGGGGTCAGAGCTGGAGGCCTCTGGAGCCCCTCAGGGAGGGGCAGGAGTGGGTACAAAGGTTTGGATTTAAATGCAGCTCCTTCAATGCCGAGGGTGGAGGCCCTGGCTAGGGTTGATCGGGAATCCCGGAGCGGGTTGGGATACTTTGGATCCCGACACGTTTGGCAGGATCTCTTGGCAGCCTTTAAATCCATGAGGAATGTCGAGTGAGTGATGAAACAAGCTCTAATTGTGCCCGGGGTTAAATCCCTCCTTCCTGTTTTCACGGAGTGAGTCCAGGGACAGCTGCTGATTCCTCAGGGACTGTTGGAGTCCACAGACTACAGGTGGGATCTGACTCCCACCGGAGCCACTGTAGCTGCAGAAGCAGGAACTCACAGGAAAACCCCATGATGGTTCCTGACCCTCAGGATCAAGTTTGGCTCTTTGATTTGGGCTTGTTTGCCACGAAGTGGGCTGGGTCCCCCCTCCAGGAGCCCAGGGCTCTGCTCCTCGTGTGCCCCCAGGACAGGGTGACCAATTCCCAACAGCCCAGCCAGGCTGGAGCCCTGCCTGGGGCTCCCTCTGTTCCCAAAACACCAGACCTGGCCTTGCACAAGCTCAGAGTGACCCCATGCAGGGCCTGCCAGGCTGTGGGGACATCACGTGGGAGGGGAGATGAGGGGAGGAACAGCAGGGAGCTGCTGGAAAAGGCACTGTCCTTATTAACAGCTTCCTCTGGAATTGTCCCTTGGAATTTCCTTGTTCTCCTGAGGGGGATGGAGCAGCTGAACCACCTCCCTTCCATCCTATATTCCCAGGAATCCCATCTGCAGGTGTGACAGCAGGGTCAGCTCCTGCTTGTTCCTCAGGAACGTTTTTAGTGGGATAAACAACAAGCGGATCCAGTTCCGAGGGAGATTATTCCCAAAGCTCACCCAGGAGACTGCCTTGACTCCCTCCACACGGATAACAACAAGTCCAATATCTGGGTGCCTCCAACAAGCAGTGTTGACTGGGATAAACCCTCTGGGATCTCTGTTGTCCCTGGGACAATCCCCCAGCCCGGAGCCCTGGTGAGGGCTGGGCTGATTCCCCTTTTCCGTGCCCAGCAATCCGTGTGAAAGGACACACATTTCTGGCCTCGGAGCCTCCTGCCCCCCCTGCTTTGGCTGTGTCAGCGGAAAATCCGGCTCTGGAGGTGCCCTGGGCCTGCTGGTGGCCCTGAGGGCGCTGATAAGGGTGGGAAATGGGCACGTGGGGCGATAGCGCGGCCCCGATAAGAGCCGGGCTGGCAATAAAGCCCCGTAACCCCCCTGTCCTCAGGCTGAGCCGAGCCCACAGCGACCATGAGGCTGGTGCTGATCCTCAGTGCCCTCCTGGGGGCCTGCCTGAGCCTGGAGACCTTCGTGGGGTGAGTGTCTCTGGGGTTTGGGGCCGCCCCAGTCCTTGTTTGAGGGGATCTCAGCTTTACCAAACCTGCCCGGGGCACATTCCGGCCCTTTGCTGACCCGTTCTCACGTTCCTTCCATCCCTGGGGTTTGAGGGACCCTCTCTCCCCTTTAATTTGGGTTGAGCTCCCAAATTCCTGCTCACCCAAGGCTTTTCTTGGCTTTTACTGCTCCCCAAGCCCTGAGCTGGCCCTAAAGCTCCCTGCAAAGCTCAAGCTTTACAGATCTAGTCCAGCACAAAGCAGAGCTGAAAACCAGAGCCTGCCTTGGGATCAGAGAGCTCACGACTTCCCCTTGGCTTTCCAAGTTTATTCCTCCTGCTTTTTCCTCATTTCTGCCTTCCTGAGCAGTTCAAATCCTCTTTTCCAACCTTCCTTCCCGCTGTCAGAGCCCCCCAAGCTCAACACAACTTCCTCCTCCTGCCCCAAACCCAACCAGCAAACGCAGGGCTGGTCCTGCTGAGCGGCCAAAACCTCCCCCAGCGTCACCTCCCCTGGTTCTTGGTGCAACTCTGGGGCGGCACCAAGTCAGGAGGGTTAAATTAACCCCCCCTGCAATTAACCCCCCTAATGAACTCCTCCCTGGCCCCGGGGAGGGTTGCTGAAGGCCCTGATTCCTTTGCAGGCACCAAGTTCTCCGCATCAACCCCCAAAATGAGGAGCAGCTCGGGCAGCTGCAGATCCTGGAGTCGCTGGAGCATCTCGAGGTACAGCTGGGGGGGTTGGGAACGTTCCAGGCTCCTCTCTGGGAAAGGGCTCAGGGCGTGAATTTGGGTCTCATCTGGAGGGTTTCCATCCCGCTGCCGGAAATATTTGTACTGTCTTATTATAATAGAAATGTAGAAATACATCAATATAAATAAGTAAACATAAAACACATAAAACATAAAATATACATGTAAACTCTAAAAATATGAATATAAAATAGATCAATATAACTATAAAGTACAGCATTAAATATCCCAGTATAAATATCTCAACATAAAATATATAAATATAAAATATAAAATACATACCTATAAATATAAAATATATCAATATAAATGTATACATATAAATATATAATTATAAAATCTATAAATCTATAAATATAAAATATATAAGCATAAAATATAAAAATATAATTTACTGTCCTAACACCCTATATTTGATGTCCCAGTTCTAGAACCAGCTCGGTGTCCGGGAGTGCCTGAATTCCTATTTTTTTTTTCCCCTTCTGGATTTACAATCAGATTTGAATTATTCTTGCTCTTCATCTTGGTCCTAAACCCCCTGTTTTTCCAGTGGGACTGGTGGGGTTTTTGTGCTTCTCTCCCAGTGCTGTGGAGGGAATGGTTTGGTTGGTTTGTACCCGCTGAGACACAAACCCACCCTGGGATTCAGGAGAAACCAGCGCTCCCAAGGCTGTTTGCAGCTCACACCTCTCTCCTTCCCCTTCCCAGCTGGATTTCTGGATAAACCCCTCCACCCCCGCCCTCCCCGTGGACGTGAGAATTCCTGCCAGCAATGTCCAGTCGGTCAAAGCCTTCCTGGAATCCCAGGGGATCAGCTATTCCATCCTGATCGAGGACCTGCAGGTAGGAGACGATGGGGAGCCTCTCCACCTCCTGGGGGCAAGCAGGGGTTCCCAGCTGGGCCTCCTTCCCAGCGGGGGCTCTTCCATGCTCTGTTTGCCAGGAGGCTGTTTTTGCGGGATGTGGGTTCATTCCTCACAGACAATCCCTGGATCTCTGCGGGATCCCTGAGGAGGTGACACCTCCTTGGGCGGTGACATCGATAAACTCGGGGGGTTCTGCTCTGAGACACCCCCTGAGGAATTCCACCTGCTGTCCCGGCCACAGATGCTTGGGAAGCACTCCTGGAGTTCCTCAGGAGTCAGTAAAACGTGCCAGGGGTAGTGACGGATAAAAGTCACCCACGGGGGCACAATTCCAAGATTTTCCCGTGAGGGATGATCCCAACGTGGCACCTGAGCCAGCGAGGCCAGAGCAGGCCCTGGAGCTGCTCCCAGGGCTGGATCCCTCTGCTCTGGAGCCAGGCTGGGACAGCTGGGGGGGTTCACCTGGAGAAGAGAAGGATCCAGGGAGACCTGAGAGCCCCTTGCAGGGCCTAAAGGGGCTCCAGGAGAGCTGGAGAGGGACTGGGGACAAGGGATGGAGGGACAGGACACAGGGAATGGCTTCCCAGTGCCAGAGGGCAGGGACAGATGGGAGATTGGGAAGGAATTGCTGGCTGGGAGGGTGGGGAGGGCCTGGATTGGATTTCCCAGAGAAGCTGTGGCTGCCCCTGGATCCCTGGAAGTGTCCAAGGCCAGGCTGGAGCAGCCTGGGATGCTGGAAGGTGTTGGGGTTGGATGATCCTTCATTTCTCTTCCCACCCAAGCCATTCCAGGATTCTCTGGGTAACTCAGCACAAACACTGCCTTTTCAAATCCATTTTGCAACCAGAGCAGACTTCTCTCACCCTTGGAATGTCCTGTTTTAGGATGTTCTGGACAAGGAAAAGCAGGACATGGCCGAGAGCGCCCAGAGGGAGCGAGGCACCAACTTTGACTTCGGCTCCTACCACACCCTGGACGATGTGAGTCCCTCAGGGCAGGGGGGTTCTGTCTTTTTTCCTGGCCTTTCCTCATGCTATCTTCCATCAAAATTCCAGTGGTAGGATCTAGATGTCTTTCCAGCTTCTCTTGGCACATGGTTTTGGTTTTATCTGAAAGGATTTAGTGGCCAGAACAATCAGCCCTGGCAGAGCAAGTGCTAGGCAAACTTTTCCATGAGCTCTTGTGTCTAAACCCCTTCCCTCTGAGCCTCCAAAGAGGCAGGGAAATAAAGGAATCTTGAAACAGGAGATAAAGGAATCTTGAAACAGGAGATAAAGGAATCTTGAAACAGGAGATAAAGGACTCCTTGCCCAGAGAAGCTGTGGCTGCCCCATCCCTGGAAGTGTTCGAGGCCAGGCTTGGAGCAACCTGGGATCGGTGTGAACCAGATGGTTTTTAAGGTCCTTTCCAGGCCAGACAAGTCCATGATTCCATGAAAAGTGTTCCAAGTGTCCTCATGGCTCCTCATTGCAGATTTATGCGGAGCTGGACCACCTTGCCTCCGAGCACAGCTTCGTGGAGAAGATCCAGATCGGGGAGTCCTACGAGAAGCGTCCCCTCTACGCCCTGAAGGTACACCAAGAGTGCCAGGGCTCGTCCCAGCGTGGGGCAGCCGTGGCAGAGCCCAGCCCAGAGCCCCCAGCCTGCCTGGGATGGTTCTGGCTGACAGGTGAGCTGAATCTTCCCCTTCCATCCCCAGTTCAGCACCGGCGGCTCCGCCCGCCCGGCCATCTGGCTCGACGCCGGCATCCACTCCCGCGAGTGGGTCACCCAGGCCAGCGCCCTCTGGATCGCCAACCAGGTTCCTGCAGCTTTGCCTCGCCCTGCCAGTGTCTCAGAGCGTTCCAGGGATCCCACAGCTCCGTGCTGAGCCTCCTCCCCTCACCAAACCCACTCCCGGAGGGTGTGGTGGCTGCCCAGCCCCGGGACTGGAACACGCAGGGGCCTGTTGGAAGAGCTCAGTTTAGGGACACTAAGGGCAGCAGTTCAGGGAGGCAAAGTGGAACAGTTCCTGTGAAGTTGTTGACAAAAAGAGGGCTGATAATTCCACAAATAACCAGGGCCCTGGAGATTATTTTGCTGCTTCGCTCTTAGAGAAATGCTGTGTGGTTGGTCCCCTCCCACAGCAATGCCCCAACCTCCATCTCTGTGTAAATTTAAACCATTTCAAGCATTTAAACCCTGCTGGAGATGCCTAAAGCACCCCAGGAGTACAGCCCAGTGGAGTATTCCCAGCCTGGCTGCTCCATCTCAGTCCCAGTGCAGGGCCCTGGTCGGTTCTCTGGGACAAGGGAGTGGGGAATTTTGTTGCCTTCCTCCATCAACCTCCAAATCAGACAGGTTAACTGGCCATCAGATAACTGATACTCTTGTTCCCCTGCCCCAAAATCCAGCTGGGAGGGCATTTGGGGCAGGAATGCCCTGATGACCGGGCTGTGCTGTCGTCTCTGCCCAGATTGCCTCTGGCTACGGAACAGACTCCTTCGTCACCTCCCTGCTGGACAAGATGGACCTTTTCCTGCTGCCAGTGGCCAACCCTGATGGCTTTGTGTACACCCACACCTCGGTGAGTGAGAGGGCTGTGGGATGGGCTGATCCAGGGGCTGCCCTGCTCTTCCAAGGAAATAACAAACACTGGGAAAGGGGCTCTGGGAGTGCTGTGAGAAGGAACTGCAAGGAGCAGTTTTAAATCACTCACCTTAAATACACCACCATAGCCTTCCACTTTCACCATGAGCCCATTGGGAATAGGGCTGGGATCCCTCCCTGGGGGATGGCAGCTCTCTCTGGGAGCAGCTGGCACACAAACAGCCGGGGGTACTCACTTTTGGAAGCTGTTCCTCCCTTCCAGAACCGCATGTGGAGGAAGACGCGCTCCAAGAACCCGGGCAGCGTGTGCTACGGGGTGGATCCCAACAGGAACTGGGACGCAGGCTTTGGAGGTAGGAATGAGGAGCCTCTGGGTCCTGGATCCAGCAGGAATAACGGCAGGGACTCAGGGAGAGCAGGTGCTCCCTCAGGATGGAGCTGTTCCCCACACAGATGATTGATTGCCCAAGAGCACGGGGGGAAGGTGGGACCCATGGAATCACGGAATGACTGACTGCTTTGGCAAGGAGGGACCTGAGACACCCTTTAGTTCAAGGCAGGGACACGTCCCACTGGGCCAGGCTGCTCTGACCCCATCCAAGCACCGGACACCTCCAGGGATGTCCCTTCTCACCGGGCTGTCCCCTCCCTGCCCCGCCAGGTCCCGGGGCCAGCAACAAGCCCTGCTCCGACTCCTACCACGGCCCCAGCGCCAACTCCGAGGTGGAGGTCAGATCTGTCGCTGACTTCATCAAGAACCACGGCAACTTCAAGGCCTTCCTGACCCTCCACAGCTACTCCCAGCTCCTGATGTATCCCTACGGGTACAAGTGCACCAGGCCCGACGACTACGCCGAGCTGGTGAGACACAAACCCTGCCCTGGCCGCTCCTTCCCGGGCTCTCCACACCCCAGGCCCTTCCCTAACAACAGCAGCGTGGACCT